AATGAAACGAGAGCAATTAAAAAGAGTTGATGATGGTGGGCTTATTGGGAAATCTGTTAGTGTTATGGTGTCTAAGTGTCTGACTAACAGGGCCTAGGAGCAACTACATCAGAAAGGTACTTTTCTACTTTTTTCCTTTCAGAATTCTAGGCAGAGTCTGGCGCTGGAGTTGGCTGTCATGTCCAAGTCTTTCAGCTTTTTTTGTTTGAAACAGCAAGGGTAAGATGAACTGCAGGGTAAGATGGGCTGTTTTTGAATACAGTAGTCCAGTTATGATACCACTTCTTTTTTCCTTTTCTTTGATTTTCTTCCCTTCCCCCCTCCCCCCCCCCTTTCTGTTCTTTTTTTTGCATTGACGTTGGAAGTTTGGCATAATCTTTCATTTATATGAAGATGTGTTACCTTGCTGGACCAGTTCCTTAAATAATTCAATATGAACACTAAAATTTAACAGTAATAAAATAGTCCATCTTGCCTTCATTCCATTTTACCCAGGAGATTTAAAAACAAGCATAGTGACCAATTAACAAAAATGGTTGTTTTGATACAATGGTATAGTGGATATGGTAAAACATTTTCTTTGAAAACAAGTTTCTGGATATTTCTAAAAGATTTTAAGTAAAGTTCTTACAATGAAGTTTGAAATTGTTTATATGACATCATAAGCAATTTCATTCCATTCGATTATAACACTATGGAAAAAAATCCATACATGCTCATTTATAATAAATATTTGTGGTTGCAAATTACATTGAAATTTATTTTTTTCCCGTTTTTCAGTAATTAGGCACAAGAGGAGTTTATGTGCTTCAATTTGTCTCATTAGACTCTAAATTAGCATTAGTAATTATGCAAATTACTATACAGTGTCTGTCACCCCCTCCATTCTTTAGTGCCATGAGCAGGCAACTCCAGCAATGCATTATAATCTAGCTTTATCTAGTATATGCATAGCAGTCTAATATTTTCATTGCTACTCTATCAAATAAAGTGTGTGGCATAGCCACTCATGTTTATCTGAAATTGTGGGGCTAACTATAGAGATGGGAGATGTTCTTTTTTTTTTTTATCTAAACAGTCAATAAACAAGCCTTTATAGCAATACAAATGTCAGAAGTCAAAAACATATTTATAATAGATTTCAGATTTCGTATTTCAGATATGAAATACTTTATTTCATATCTGCTCCTTTCATCAATAGCTTTTTTTTTTTACTGAAGCAAGTTTCTACAAAATTCTTAAATAATGTTTATTTAGTGCCTTGAAGATAAAGAACTGTCTAAATGCTTCAATATTAGTATTAACTTAGAGGTTCAGTCTAGCTAAGGTTTTTTTCTGGAAAGCCAGGTCAAGTAACTGATTTTTTCACATTGCTCTATATCTATCTATAAATTTTAAAAAGGCACTGATCATTGAGTCTCCCGTTACTATCTTTTGATTCCCACAGCTCCAAAGAGATCTGTCTTTATAAGTGTAATCAGTTCTTATTTTTCATTTCAGTTGTGTGTGTTTGTACAAGCAGTACATGTAAGCCTGTAGCTTAAAGATTTTTTTGCACAGTGATTCCATCTCCCCACTGTGGCAAAAAGTGCTGAACACTTATTAATTGTTTTCTGTGCATTGGTTTCACCTCTCTCCCCTGGTTTTCGTTAGGTTCTGAGCTCATGCCCAAAGCCCTCTCCACCAGGATAGTGGGAGGCATTTGGTGGTTTTTCACACTTATCATCATTTCCTCGTACACTGCTAACCTAGCCGCCTTTCTGACAGTGGAACGTATGGAATCCCCTATTGATTCTGCTGATGATTTGGCCAAACAGACAAAGATAGAGTATGGGGCAGTTGAAGATGGAGCAACCATGACTTTCTTCAAGGTAAGCTTTATATTCTGATTGAAAAGATCCTATGCCACGACTGGGGGGGGGGAAGTTTGTGCACCTTGCTTAGGGGCAACAGATAGGATTCCCATTGCTGTCAAAAGCAACCGAAAGTCAGTTTTCTTAGGAACTGCAAGATAGCAAAGGAAGCAAATGCAAAATCTCTCATGGGAAATGAAAGGCAATTTCTTTGATGATTTTAACTTAAAGAATTTATAGCAGCGAAGAAGGTGAAGAAACCTGAACACGTTGCACAGACAGATCTCCTATAGCGGTACATAGGAACGAGTTTTGTCCTATTAGGCATTACAGTATCAGTTCAATAGCGTAATACTTAATCATAGTGTTTGTTCAAGCAACTGGACTACATTAAGGACATTAGCAGCTGGACTGAGAAAAGCCTCTTGGATGTCGTATTTTTGAGAAATTTTTAAATGAAATATGGGGTCCATATAAAAAGCTCAGATTCTTCCAGTTTTTCTATTCTTTTTAACTTGTTCATTCAGATCATTCAATTTGAAATGTAGTGAAATATGCTACTGGATTAGAGATAAATCTTTCTTTTCTTGCTTCATCAAACATTTAAGTGGCCTTAAATTAGTGAGAATTATGCATGAAGTGAAAGA